TGAATCTGTCTAGTAGATTCATGTGCATGTAAGTGGACCAAATATAGGGGATTCAAGTTCTTTCTTAAACCTGGTTGAATAGATCATATATATATATATATATATATATATATATATATATATAGTGGGAGAATTTACTTATTCACTTGTTTGTTACCCTGAATCATGAGAATCTACTTATTTACTTGTTTGATATATGAATCATGAATGAATTAGGAGAAGAATTCGGAGAAGATTTACTTGTTTGTTATATGAATCATAAATGAATTAGGAGAAGAATTCGGAGAAGATTTACTTGTTGTTTGTTACATGAATCAGAAGAATCTACTGATTTACTTGTTTGTTACCCTGAATAGGAATCTATTGATTTGTTGACATGAATTAGTAGAATCTACTGATTTACTTGTTTGTTACCCTAAATTAGGAGAATCTACTGATTTACTTGTTTGTTACCTTGAATCAGGAGAATCTACTGATCTATTTGTTATCAGGAGAATCTACTGATCTACTTGTTAGTTACCTTGAATTAGGAGAATCTACTGATGTACTTGTTAGTTACCTTGAATCAGGAGAATCTACTGATTTACTTGTTTGTTACCTTGAATCAGGAGAATCTACTGATTTACTTGTTTGTTACCTTGAATCAGGAGAATCTACTGATTTACTTAGAGAATTTACTGATTTACTTGTTTGTTATATGAATTAGAAGATTTACTTAGAGAATCTACTGATTGATTTACTTGTTTGTTATTAGGAGAATGGAATCTACTAATTTAATGTTACCATGAATCAAGACAATCTACTGATTCATGAATCAAGAGAATCTACTGATTTACTAGTTTGTTACTGAATCAGGAGAATCTACTAATCTACTAGTTTGTTACTGGATCAGGAGAATCTACTAATCTACTAGTTTACTTGTTACCATGAATCAGAAGAATCTCGATTTACTCATTTGTTACCATGAATTAGGATAGTCTACTTATTTACTTGTTGAGAATCTACTTATTTACTTGTTTTTTACAATGTAACAATGTAATCCTCATTATACACATCTACAAATATATGAGGTCATGCACATCTAAAAAGTCGTGATCTATATAGGTCTGAGGTCATGCACATCTAGAAAGTCGTGATCTATATAGGTCTGAGGTCATGCACATCTATAAATAAACAAGGTCGTGACCCATAAAGTCATAGTGCCACCTAACATGGTATATGTGTATCACTTTCATATACAAATAGTTGTGTGCACCACTTTTGTACACATAGAACCAACTATGCTTATACCACTTCCACAATTTTTTGCCTCGTCGAGTACACATCACTTTTATATATAAGTGCTTTCACTTTCAAACACATTAACCGTACACTAAATGTTTAATGTATAGGTTATGGACCCATAAGAGCCAAGAAAGAAGAGAATGTGAGAATATTTCATGCACAAACATTTCTTTTATTTTCCTTTCATTTAATGTATATATAAAACATTATAGTTTGCAATAACTAGTATACCAAGATATTTAAAAATGCACGCACGAATATATCATATCACAATATTCATGATAATCATTTAATATAGGCATACATAAATAATTTGAAAGAGCCATTAGAGATCCTCTAAGCTTAAGGAAATACTGCAAAATGGTTTAATTTAGAGGTAAATTTGGTTTTTTTTGGTGATGGATTTGCAGCACAATAATAATAATAATTTGATTATGAAGTGTAGTAATGAGAGAGGAACAATAATTCATCCACATTTTGCAGAGGAGTGTGTGTCCAAATCATGAGTTGATAGCATCGGTATAGATGTAATCAGAATGAGCCTCTAAGGTTGTTCTAACCAGGCACACCTCTGCCTCTCCTCCCTTGCAAACATCTTCACGACCCTTTTGATGAGTGATTTGGCTGATGTCGAGGGGGGTGGCGGTGGGCGTTGTGGTGATTGGACGGGCTTCGGCGGAGGAGGAGAGAATGGACATTGTTATGAGTGCTGCGATGGTGAAGACAGCCACCAGCTTCGACATCTTCACCTGGAGTTGAGTCTTGAAAATGAATGCGGTGAAGCCGTGGAGGATGCCTGTTTTGTTGGGGGGGTTTTATAAGAATGATTTGGTGAGGGTTTCAACGTTGCACCGCTTGTTTTGCTGGCTTTGCTATATTTATCTTTTTCTTTCTTTGTTATTACATGGCTGATCTTCAATTTAACTAAAAATAAAATGGTTAATTAATTGTTTGATTTTTCTTATTTATACACGTGGCAACTTCTTTTTTTTTCGAGAATATTTGCTAAAATCATAACCTCCACGGACTGTTCAGTCAATTTCAAATATTTGTTTATTTTGAGTCCTCTACTAATTGAGCTATAAGGACCATTTACTTTCCGACACATTAGACGACGTATTTTCACAGTAGATTTGAACGGGTAGACGTATTTTCATAGTAGATTTGAACGGGTAACAGGAAGATTTTGAGTCGTCTGCTCTACTAATTGAGCTATACTGGCTATTTCCTTTCCGACACATTAGACGTATTTTCAATAGCAGATTTGAACCAGTGAGACGAAGATTTTCAGTCCTCTGCTCTACCAACTAAGCGATACCGGTCATTTTCTTTCCGACACATTAAAAACTTATCAAAACAAATAGACTTGAAATTTCGAAACAACTCTCTATTTAGAGACGAATGAAAAGATGCAGTTGAATATAAAATCCAGGATTTAATCGGACTGTCTACGAAGAAGATTAGAACATCCCAATGTCTTTTGCTGAATTTATAGAATCATCGTCATTCTATGATTTGTGATTTGCTTCCTCTTTGTACAATTTGTTCGAAAATGACATTTTTCTCCACAACTCCATACTTTATGTTTAGAGTGGTTTAGAAAGACTAATAAATGTATACTAGATATTTGTTCGTAATAAAAGGATAAATATGATACCTATGATAAGGGAAGCAAATATTTAGATATTTGTCTATAATAAAAGATCAAATATGATATATATGGTAAACTATAATTCAGTATTAAATATCTTTAGTATTAATCATAGTTCAGGATAAATGTTTGGTTCATGCAATATTTGATGTTTTGAGCGTGACACGTATATTTAGCTCTAACATGATGATATGAAGATAGAATGATTAAGAAATGGTTACTATAATTGAAAGTCACTACCTATGCCAACAAGGTACAACTTTATTTTTGATGGTTCAATTATAAGAACTCAAGGTGCACCTTCCTTTTCGATGACTCAATCATAGAAACTTCATGGTTAGGCGTGGTTTGTCTAGAGATACATGTAAGTGAGAATAAAACATGCTGAAATGAGTTGTCTTGGATTATCGGATAATCTTGGGAATGAGAATTGATACGAAGCAAACAACCTCATATTCAAATAGTATTGGTCGTAATCTAATTTATTTATATTTGGAAGCAACACCACACACTCGTACATTTCCTACCGTTGTTTCTCTTCATTATGTGTGTTTGTTTTGTTTTCAAATGCCCTCTTCAATACGGCACCAATCTCTAATCTCTCATGTATTTGATGCTTCTATTTGTGCACCATACATTACATTTGGATAAGCTTGATTTATTTTCGATGAATTTTAGTTGCGTTCGTGATTGGTTTCAAAATTTGAATTCGGTATCTGATGAATCTATTAGGGAGAGGTTTTCACACCATCATAAAGAGTAAGTTATAAGGGTGTTTCGTTTTCCTCCCCAACCAATGTGGGATATCACAATCCACTCTCCTTCAGGGCCCAGCGTCCTCACTGGCACTAGTTTCTTTCTCCAATCAATGTAGGGCCCATACCAAATCCACCTCCCTTTGGGGCCAGCGCCCTTACTAGCACGTCGCCTCGTGTCTACCCCCTTCGGGGAACAGCCTCCTCGCTGGCACATAGTCCGGTATCTGGCTCTGATACCATTTGTAACGACCCAAGTGCACTGTCAGCAGATATTGTCCTCTTTGGGCTTTCCCCTTCCCCTCAAAGCTTTAAAACACGTCTACTAAGGAGAGGTTTCCACACCCTTATAAAGGGTGTTTCACTCCTCTCCAACCAATGTGGGATATCACAGATGTAGTCTTCTATTTATTCATATACCCTTCTTTTACTCAGATGTCACATACCTACATTATTTCTTTATAACTACGTCTAAGAATAATATGAACACAATTTTACAGCGACATATATTCCTTCGATTTACCTCAACTACATTATTTCTTTATAACTACGTTTTTTTTCCCTTATAGAACTAACAAGATGACGAGATCATTTTTCCATATGAGAAAATGGAAATTATTTTATAATATTAAATCAATGGAAGATGGAATGCGTGATATACACGGTCCACACGTGTGAGTATGGATCCACCAATCGGTTCGTACACCTCCTAAGTCCCTTTCATGGTCAGACGAGCATTCTCTAAAGCTATTGATACCAACACTTGTTAGGTATTGTAGCCCTTAGATTAGATCCTCGAACCAGAATTAGAGCATTTACATTCATGTCTATTTTAGTAACCCTTAATTTAAATTGGGATATTGTTTTTATTTTGATTTGAATTCATGTTATTTATTTTATAGCTAATAACATTATCGTTTTAAAAGAATTTCTTACGAGCTTTAAGCTCATGACACCATTTAAAATGTTTTCAAAAAATTTTCCGCACATATTAAGTATGTAATGTATGGAGTGTCGTCTGCATTTTAATCTTATATTTATTAATGGACCTATTATCTAAAATATTTTAGATTATTATGCATTTTCAAATATTCGATATCTCAAATAAATAATCTATTATTATTTTTTAAACTATTATATTAAAAAATTTCAAATAAGAAATGCATGTGAGTGGTTGGAAATATTTTCAGGTACGGTGAAAAAGAGAGAATATCCCAAAAATGACCGAATAATTTGATGGTAAACCGCTTCAATACCTAACTCTTTCTTGTTACAGAATTAGGTGAGGGTGAGGATAGCATAAGAGACACAAAAATAATTATTAATATTATTTGATTATCAAACTGTATTAATCATGGAGGAATAATAATTTATCCTCATTTTTCAGAGGAATGTGTGGTGAATTATGAACGCAATGGTCGGAATACAACCGCTCATGACTTGGTATCATCGGTATAGATGTAATCGGTATGAGCCTCTAACGTTCTTTTAGCCAGGCACTCCTTTGTCTCTCCTCCTTCGCAAACATCGTCGTGACTCTTTTCAGAAACGACCTGATTAAAGTACCAATAAACATTAATTGCATGATGAAATTGTTAATAATCACGGATCTTCAGAATGGCTTTGGTTTAAAGCTCTTATATGAATGGAGATGTATTCCTTACTTATAAACTCATGATCGAAGAGATTTGAGATTTTAGGGTACCTGATGTGCGATATGGTTGAGGTCGAGGGAAGTGGCGATGGACGTAGCAATGGGACGAGCGTCGGAGGAGGAGAGAAGGGACATTGTCACGAGAGCTACGATGGAGAAGAGAGCCACGAGCTTTGACATCTTCTTGGCCTAGAATTGTGACGTGAAAATGAATGGAAGGGAGGCGTGGAGGGTTTTATATTGGCGAGTGAATCGCTGGCATAATGATGAGATGGTGACTCTTTGGCCTTAACGCCCCTTGTTTTCCTTTATTTGCATATTTAAGGTAACATGACTCAACTTCTTACTTTTAACCAAAAATTTTAAAACAAAACAAAAAAAAAAAATTTTGAAAACAAAAAATGACTCAAGTCCACCGCTAGCAGATATTGTCCTCTTTGAGCTTCTCCTAACCTTTGGAAACGCGTCTATTAGGGAAAAGTTTCTATACTGCAAAGGTATTTTGTTCTCCTCTCCAACCAATGTGGGATATCACAAAAGTCGTTTGAGGGACTCTTTTAAGTCATAGTTGATAAGCTCGTAGTTTTTTTTTTAACGAATAAGATAGGTTAGTTGATATTGACGTTAAAGAATAGTGAGTCACAATATCAAAACAGTAACCATTTTGTTGGGTCGTAGTCCAATTCATTCATATTTGGAAGGAACACCACACACCTTAACCATTCTTCAACCAAGTTTCGTATTTGTTTTATTTTCGAATACCCCTTTTAATAGGGCACCAACCTCTTAATTATATGCCGCTATTTTTCTATTTTCATTTTGAGGTGGATGTAATTTGAAATGTCGAAATCGTGGAAAACGACAACGGTCCATCATAGATTGATTAGGTTTGAATAAGATTTATTTATTTTCCATCGACTTTATTTTATTTTAGTTACTTCCGTGGTTGGTTTCATTAGTTCTAGTTCTAGTCAAAATAAGACTCGTTGAAATAAAAGCATAACTCAACAAAAATTAATATTTCTATACTTTATATTGGTTGTACCGAAAAAAATCAATTAAATTATAATCATTATAATCATTATTTAACATTTATATTTTCAATGCTTTAAAATAATAAATATAAATTTATTGGTAAGAGTATTTTTTTTTTTAAAAAAATGGCAAATCTATTATTTTTTCTTTGTTTTGAATGGATTTATGTAAGAAAAAATAAATATAAATAAACAAATAAATAAATAAATAAAAGGGGGAATTTCGAGTACAAAAATTAGCAAAGCTGACGACAAAACAATTGAGAAAAGAAAAGCGCCGTTGCCGGGGATCGAACCCGGGTCACCCGCGTGACAGGCGGGAATACTTACCACTATACTACAACGACCTTGTTGTTCAAGTAATTTAGTTTTATAAATTTGACTAATTTCTATTCTCTGTTTTTCAACTGTGAAGTTTATTGCTTCATCGGTTCCAACGCACCGCATTTCCCAGAAAAAGAAAATCATCTCCTTTCTGTTCTACTGCATAGTTTCTCTCAGAACTGGGAGCGTATTCAAACATGTTGTTTCTGCGTTCTTTTTCATTTTTAGAAATTTGAAGCTTCCGGGAGATATGCTCGGAGATGGAGGAGAAACTCCTTGCAGGTACGACTGTTGCGTTTCCTTCTCTTTGACTAGAGCCATGACATTAATCATTACTTGCTTCGCTGGTATACTCCGTTTCTATGCTTCAAATTCTGGTTCTCGATTATTGAATCCTGCTGCATTCAATCTGTTCTTCTCAGCCAACTCGCTGATCATTTTGATTTTCATACATTTGTATTCTTGGAGACTGTAGAGTGTAGTTATATTATGGTTGACGTTGTGATAAATCGTGATCGATTACTAGATGTACGAGAGTTATTGTTATCAGGTTATTGACAATTGTTTTGTTTCGACTAGTTCTACTATCTCGCTTCATCCATTAGTGTTGAAGCTTTTGTTGAAGTTGAAGTAAAATAGAAGTATACGGAATTAATGAGGTTCTGTGTTTAATTTGTTGATATGAATTTTTGAGCATGGTTAAGGATCGGACAAGCTGTGGTAGAAGAGCCAGATGCTTCGGATGTTGAAATTGATCCTTGTTTTTGGGCTTAATATACATAATTATGCATAAACTTTGGGCTTGTCATACTGTTGATACATTTCTGAACTTAAGGTTGTACTAGTTCTATTAATTTCAACTTTGTTTCTCTGTGGTACAATTGGATTTGTTGAAATTTCAGGGTTATTATTCAGGTCTTGACAGAGACTGACGATTGCTATTGCGTACTTCTCAATGCACATGATGGTGTAGCTTTTCCTGGAAAGGATTATGAAGAAAATTGCAATTCTGGTGATGTTATGGCCTCGGTATGGATTCTGGTTCTCTAAGTACGAAGAATTCCAAGGTTTGAGTTGGTTCACTTTCAAGCAGTCTAACTACTATTATTTACTTGTTGTCAAGAGCTTCTATGGAGGGATTCAAACCATTTGAACCTCTAACCTCTTGGTTGAGGCTACTAGATTGTTCGTGCATTGGTGTTCATTTGGATCTCATTTTAACATAGTAAATCAAACTTTTATGTTAATGTTAAAATCTTAGTGTTGCTCAACTTCATGCTGGTTTATGTTGAGGTTTTTACTTGAATTGATTGTAGAATGTAGAGCTTTCTTGTTATTTCTGCAATTTTATCCGAAGGGGCTGCCTGTGTTGAGGTTTTACTTGAATTGATTGTAGAATGTAGAGCTTTTCTTGTTATTTCTGCAATTTTATCCGAAGGGGCTGCCTGTACTGTTTTGGTGATGGGGAATAATTGTTATGAGTAACACACTAGCAGAAAGGGGGTTCTTCTCGTTAAATATTCTTAATTCAATCTCCCTTGGAATTCAATATTATATATATATGTTTTTTTTTTCCTTTTCACTGATCTGTAAATTCATGTTATAAGTGAGTAGAAGATTTGAACTGTGTTGAAATATGAGTATTGACATGAACCATGAAATCTCCTCATAAGTATTGGGTACAAATACTCACATTGTCCTAAATGCTGCAGATTACTACTCTATACTCTGGATTTGTCAGCTACCAAATGGTTTGTGATGCATACGACGGTATATTTTTTTTCTAGAATATCTTTCTTCTTCAATGCGGTATAAATTTATCACATTGAGTTTCCATTCTGGTTCTTATGGGGAAGAACTTTCTTTTGTTCAAATTTCTCCAGCACGTTTGTGGATATGGGGTGTTGCATTAATTCATTGTTCCTTGGTATGATCTAGGATGTAGGATGCATGTAACTAATCCGTAGTAATGTTTTCTCTGAACTAATAATGGACGTTTCATGTTCTTAATTTGAATAGAGCCGACCTTCTCTGTTAATTCTAGAGTTTGAACTAGTCTACCATTTGATATCTTTTTCTTTAATATTTATTAATCAAATCCCAAGTTCTTCAATTCTCCGGAAAAGATTTGGGATCTTATTCAGCAATAGGAAATGAGAGATTCACATGATGGGTAATTGAAACCAAGTTGGGGCCTTTTTCTGTTGAGTTGTTCTTGTACCCAAATATGATGTTCAACAGATGGACGGAAAGCACTTTGCATTGCTTCTCCGTTAAGTGTTATTCTGGAATTTGTATTTATTTATTTTCCCAATGGGCTGAACGCCTATCATCCTGTATATAAAAAAAACTTTTTTCCCCGAAAATTCTACACTTGCTGTCCTGCTTTCAAGTCTCAACTACTTTTAAATTTTATCCACTCTTTCCCTTATTGGAACTTGAGTCCATTTTCATTCATTTCTAGTATTATGGCCAAGGTGTGAGCAGGATCAATGTACTTAGTTAACAAGCTTTTAGAGTTTGTAAGCTACACGGAGGCTTTTGTTTGCCTTTGCCGTATTCCTCGAAGTTCCACGGTAGCTAACTTTATTGTTCTGGCTTGGTCCTCTTAACACACGAGCAATCTGTGCTAAAAAAATGCTATTCATACAATACCAAGTATGAACATCGCTTTATTGAGCATATCACCCACTTTTTTGTCGCATCTAGATTAGAATTATATGTGCCATAACAAAGTTATATTTTGCATTGAGATACGCGTTAAAAGTAATCAATTTGTGGCAGTTGGGTTTATAAGAATCACGACTCTCTACAGTAGTATGATATTGTCCACTTTAAGCGTAAGTTCTTATGATTTTGCTTTTAGTTTTCTCAAACGGCCTTATACCATTGGAGATTGTATTCCTCACTTATAAACTCATAATCATTCCGTAAATTAGCCAACGTGAGATTCTCTCTCAACAATCCTCAATAGGCACCTGACGGCATCAAGGTAAGACACATTAAGGTAAATAATGCAGATCAAGGTAGACACATTAAGGTAAATAATGCAGGTAAAAAACTGGCTTCTAATTTGTAATACCATGTTAATTTTGTTCACTTTGTGCAGGTAAAAAGTTCGATTTAGGGGGAGAGGTGCAGAACTTGCATGTTAGCCTCCATTATCGGTAAATCTAGACTCCGTTTCGTAAGCTGAAGGCTAAAAACTAATTGTTAATTAGGAAAGACAACTCTACGAAAATCTGCTGTAAATATAACGTGGAATCTTCTCTACTTGAGATTCGATAATGTGCATGCCATGTTTTGAGGCATGGGGCAAGGCTCCGGATCAAGTGCAAAACAGACCGTACTTTTCAGGGTTAGGTTAAAAAAGCTGCCGCTTTCGATTGAATAAATAGGATTAAAGAAACACACTTCTTAGAAGTTATTTTGTTCTTATAGGTAAGATATGCATGTGTTCTTTGGTCTATAAACTCTAGTTTATGTATATAATATGTTGTGCTTCTGCCCATCAAGTTTAGAAATTACTAAAACCTTGCTCAAGTTACATAACGTCCTCTCAAAGTTTTTAAAACGCGTATGCTAATGAGAGGTTTCTACCCATTTATAAAGAATTTTGCATTCTTCTCCCTAGGGTCAAATGTCTTTGTTGGCACACTGCCTCGTGTCCACCCTCGAGGCTTAGCCTCATCGCCCGATGTCTGGCTCTAATAACATCTGTAATGGTCTAAACCCACTATTAGCAGATGTTGTCCTCTATGAATTTTCCCTTTCGGACTCCTCCTCAAGATTTTTAAAACACATCTACTAGAGAGAGGTTTCCACACTTAGAATGTTATTCATTTCTCAAATTCTTCTTTTTGATGCACGTATATAGTGGTATTACATTCTTCATATATGCCCATCCTTAACAGTCAAAATATA